ATATGAGCTTATTAGAAATGCAAAATCTCTGGACCTAAAGACCAGGCAGGGATGTGCTCTAAACAAGCTATCTAGGTGACAATTTAAGTTTGAAAACCACTATTTCGATAGGTGGGACACATACAGTAACATATGACTCATGCCTTTTATCTACTGCTGTGGATATAACTGTGTTCCCTAAAAAAAATATGATGAAGTCCTAACCCCTGGTCCCTGGAAATGTGACCACCTTTGCAGATGTAATCAAGTTAAGATAAGGTCATACTGGATTGAGTGGGCTCTGAGGTCCTTATGAGAAGACACACATAGACACATGGTCAATGCCATATGACCACAGAGACAAAGATTGGAATATGTCTACCAACCACGTAATGCCAGCAACACCAGAAGCCAAGAGAAACGTATTAGACAGATTATGCCCTACAGCCTTCAAGAGAGAACATGGCCTAGCCAACACTTTGATTTTCAACTTTTAGCCTACAGAACTGTAAAAGAATAAATTTCTCTTGTTTTAAGCCACCCAGTTTGTGGGAATTTATTATAGTAGTTTTAGAAAGCTAGTGAGAAGCTCTGGTGGTACAGTAATTAAATCATTTGGCTGGTAATCAAAAGGTAGGTGGTTTGAACCCACCAGCTGCTCCATGGAAGAAAGATGGGGCAGGCTGCTTCCACAAAGATTTACAGCCTTGGAAACCTAATGGGGATCACTGAGTCAGAATCGACTTGATGATTGTGAGTTTGGTTTGGTTTAGAAAGCTAATGTACCTACTATGCCTTATTACTTTTTTTTTTTTTTTTAATAATCACACTTTCTCTGATACATTATATAAGCAGCCCATAATATAATTTACTATCTTTGTAAATTCAAAGTTAAGATAAATAACAGTCATACCTACTGAACTGCTGGTGGGTTAGCACCAAACCTTCCAGCCTGATGGGAAATCTCACGTCACAGCTTCCAACCATGTTCTGAATTTTAAAATCAAGGAATCTGGCAGGGAACCCAAGCTTCTGCACCACACGAGCATACTTTCTAGCTGCAAGTCGAGACTGCTCTTCACTGGATAGGAGCAAATATGTTTAGAAATATCTCAGTCACTAGCTCTTCTATACTACTAATGCTGTATTAATAAATTTCTTACTGTGTTTTTACCATTTGTACCATTCTTTATCTTTCAACGTATACCACAAAACTATAGCCTTCAGGAGGGCACACCTACCTTCCATACTTTGGTCCTTATAGAAGTTCTTATAGTTGTTGATTCTGACTCATAGGGACCCTGTAGGACAGAGTAGAACTGCCCCATAGGGTTTCCTAAGATGTAATCTTTACAGGAGCAGATTGCCAGGACTTTTCTCCCACAGGGGCTGGTAAGTTCCAACTGCTGATTTTGTCTCTTACTTTTGTCCCTAGCACCTAGTAAAAGGTATGGCACATATACTGTTGTTAAACTGAACCATGGCCAGATTTTTTCTCAGTTTGTCACCATACACACACACACACACACACATACACATACATACATACATATATATACACACATACACACACACATATACATATATACATATATAATTGTGATTTGGGTGAAAGTTTACAGAGCAAATTCACTTTCCATACAGCAGTTTACACTTTGTCTCATGATATTGACTATAATTTACCCCAATGCAGCAGCTCCCCTCCCACTTCCAATAGTTACATCCCTCCATGCACTCCTGCCCCCTGAGCTGTCTCCTTGTGCATACACAGCTCTTCTTTCTCCAATGATTGTTCTCTCCAAGGAGGGTATCCACCTCAGGTAAATGTTCAACCCATATGCCTGTCTTTTGTTTGTCTAGAAGTCACAGGTATGGGTTCAATTCCAGACCTGAAGGGCACTTAGGGGCCATAGTCTCAGTGGTTCCACCAGGGCTCTATCAGACCAGAAAACCTGGTCCACTTCCCCCCTCCCCAATGATTTTGAGTTTTGTTCCACATTGTTATCCCTCTTTATCCACGATCTCCTACATAGATCCCCCTCTGAGTGGTTGACAGTGGTAGCCAGGCACCATCTAGTTCTTCTGGTCTCATAGTCATATAGGCTGCAGATTGCATGGTGTATCAGTCACTAGAACTAATTGTTTCCATGAATCTTTGGTTTTCTTCATTCTTCTTTGCTCTGGATGAGGAGAGACCCACTGTTGCATCTAGATGGCTGCTTGCAACCTTTTAAGATCCCAGTCGCTACTTGCCAAAGTAGGAGGTGGAGCAATGTTTTGTGTAGTATGTTATGCCAATTGAGCTTAATGTTCCCTGTGACTATGGTCCCAAGCTCATAGGTTCAACTACTTGGTCCCTCTAGGTAGCTGGCTATGACCAAGAAGTGACCACAACCTTGTCAGCTCTACTATACACCTGGTAATTCTTGCAGAACATACAAATACACTGGTAGGACCATTGTCTGCCAGCCCTATACATGGTCTTGGGTACACTCCCCAGTGCATAGACCACATACATTTTTTAAAAATTTGGTATAAGTGCTGTTAGGTAAAATTAACTATCCCACTGGTTCTCAAAGTGTGCCCCCAGACCAGCACCATCACCTAGAAACTTGTTAAAATGCAAAGTCTTGGGCCCTTCACCAGATGTGTAGAAACTCTGAGAATGGGCCCAGCCATCTTCTGTATTAAGAAGCCTTCCAGGTGATCGTGATGTTCAGTAAAGTTTTAGAACTGCCTGCTTGGCCTATAAGTGTTTGCCGTTTAGATGGGAACAAAAATAAGGGCACATACAAAAAAAAAAAAAAAAATCTCAGGAAGTAGGTATGTGCCAATTGAGTGGCATATGCAGGATGTCAGGACTTAGGTCTTTATCGGACAAATTGTCAAAAAGAGCAAAACACAAATACTTCACAACCTGCCCAATTGTTCAGAGTTTCCTATACAATTATGATTCAACTCAGATCCAACATGAAAAAGAAATTCATCTGATCTTGTGGCTATTCTTTTAAAATGTTTGTCCTGTTCTGACCCTAAATCTACATCAGAAGGTTGTAACATCCAGAGATTTGAGGCTCCATTTTCAGATAATTGTCAAAGGTCACTGACAATATAATTGAGTCACATTCTAGAGGCTGAAAAAGTAGAAAAGACTTATGATTCTTAATTTGATTTAAAAGCAGGGATACTGAGGTTGAAGCTGGGACCCAAAAGTAAAGGCCGTATCAAAAACCTGCTGTTACTGAGATCCTCTTATTTCACACTCTCTAATGGTTATTTCCCCAAACCATGTGGGACATAGGGCAAACATCAGCCTCAAGGGTTGGCCTTAGGATTAAGGAAGTAGGGAAGTTAACAGAGGCTTGTCACAAAATGCTGTTATGCAACAGTGAGTAGCAGAGGCTGCCAAAGGGGCAACAGCTGTGGGTGCATCACGTGGACTCCACCCCCTCATGACTGTCCCCATTTAAATTGACACTCAGAAACACCTGAAAGAAAAGTCATTCTGACTCTGTCATTTGGCTGGATCAAAGGAAGTGTTTGGTTCTCTTCCTACGTAGAACCACCAAACACTGGCTCCTCTGATGTGTGACACACCAAACACCACTTACTGGATATCCACCATGGGCCAGGCATTGCATATAACTTCACATACTTTGCCTCATTTAATGTTGATTCTCCTCACTCACTTCTAACTTCTGAATGTCCCTAAGCAAGGTCGTGTCCCCAAGTTAACAGTGAAATAAATTGTTCCCATTTTGAAAAAACTGTGTTTTGCCTAATTGACCCATTTCATTTCCCATAATGCTAATGTTTGAGTTAAAATTCCAGAGTGAGATTTTACGTGGGATGGAAATAGATTCTTAAATAAGGGCAATGACTGACCATTTTGGGGGGCGGGGAATTTCTTACATTATACCTTACATGGTACAGCCCCTGAAGTTTCTTGGGACAGTTACTGTGATGACCACACAGAAGTTCCTATTGAAACCTCTAACATTTCAAAATCCACATATATGTTCATTGTGCAAACATTGGAAAATAAATTAAGAACCTTAAAAATCTCACAACCAATGGTGATAACCACTGTTAAATCTGACTCTCTGTATTTTTCTTAGGTAAATACAGGTATCTCTAACTATACAAACTCTTATTATTTCAACTAAAAAGAATAAGTTTGGATAAAGTTTTGGAGATAAGGCTGGTACCTCTTACAAGCACTCAAAAGTCGCTATCTAAAACTCAGGAAACCAACAGATTTGGATTACAAGTATCTGTTGCGATCTGAATTTATTATCGAAGCTTTCAGTGTCAGATTTTAGGAGACAAATTCAGACAGGTAAAATACTGACAAATGTGTGTGTGACATAAGCATATTTTAAAATGAGAGTTGTATAATAAATGTACAATTTAGGTGCCTGCCCACACTCCTTCCCACTTAATATATGACCATCCCTCCAGCTCAGTATACACGTGTCTGTTAGTGTCTCAATATAATTTAATTATATGACAATCAAAGCCCTATTGTTAGTGTTTATAACAGGAAAAAATTTAAAGTGTTAAAATGAATATCCTTGCATACATTTTTGCACAGCTGTCTAAGAATCTCTTAGAAACAGAGATTTCTGGCACAGCGAATACACAGACCAAGAGATGAGAAAGCCCAGAAACTTACTCAGACACATATAAAAAGCTTAATGTTTTAAAACATGCAGGAAAAAATGGATTCAAGAAATGTATTGAGGCACCAACTGACCATTTGGAGGAAGGGGAAAAAAAAAAAAAAAATCCTTCACATTATACCTTATGCTGAAGTAAATTCTAGACTTGCTCTGCCCAATATGGTAGCCATTAGCCACATGTAGCTGTTTTAATTAACAATTCAGTCCCTCAGCTGGTGCTCAATAGCCACACATTACTGCTGACTTTGACATGAGACAGTGCAGATAAATATTTCCATCATCTAGAGAAAGCTAGGGAGCTCTGGTAGCATAGTGGTTAAGACACTTGCCTGCTAACCAGATGGCTGGCGGTTCAAACCCACCAGCCACTCCTCGGAAGGAAGGTTGGGCAATCCTACTTCCGTAGTGATACTGCCTCGGAAACCCAAGGAGGGGTCACTATGAGTCGGGGCCGACTCGACGGCACATAACATAACAAGAGAAAGCTAACGATGAATTGAAATCTCCAGATGAATTGAATGTCAAGAATCCTTTCTCCATTATGAAGGACTTGAAGAAGTCCAGAAAAGCAGATGAGGGAGGGTCAATATTTATATAATGTTGTGAATTACACTAAATGTAGAAACCATAAAGAAAATATGGATTTGATCTTGGTATACAAAAAACATTTTAATTGTGTCCCCTCAAAAAAAAATCATGAAATGCCATAAACAGTAATCTAGGAAAATATTTACAGTGTAAAAATACTTAAATACAAAATGCTATTAATAAAAGACAAATAGAGAATTTGGCAAAAGACATACCGATGAAGTTATTCAATCTCACTAGTAAATCAAAGATAGGTAAACTAAAGTTTTTCTTTTGCCTATTTGCTAAATATGAAAAAGAATATTCATGCCCAGTGTCCACAGGAAAAGATGAACACTCAGTACTTTTCTAGATGAAGACTAAATTGGCATAGCCTCTCAGGTGGGCAATTTGCTACTCATCTGTTTAACACAGGAAAGAACAGCTCTCACACTACAGCTTACACTGAGAGAATCTCCATCAGCATGAGATCCAAAAAAGATGCCCTTTAAAAGATGTATCCTAAGCTAATGCTCCAGCTAATGGTCAAAAAATGTCTCATTTACCTCCTTAGAAAGTTCTATCCATTTACCTGGAATGAAGAAAATAAGTAACTACTTCTCTACGTTTGTAGCATCCTTTATCTTACTGTGGGTTTCTGTTGTTTTTTCCAACTTGTACACAACCTACTTAGCCCTTCATGACCCATGGGACATATATTGCCCACCAACATTTTTAGCCTCTCAGGTTTCTTGGGAAGCTGCCACCTGGTGTAGCCCTGTATAACTATGTGAATCTAAAGAAACAGGTCTCACCCCACCACCACCAGAGCCTACATGGGATATAGGTATCCCACATAATTGTATCAAAATCCTTATTATCTCAAAGATTATTTTTTCCGTGATTTCAGCATGCCTTCTATTACTGAAAATACATGGTATTAAAAAAAAAATTCAAAGCAGAAAGCAATTTGATCGTGAAAGGGTTAAGTCCCCCCCAGTGTAACAGAGGGATTGTAAAGTACAGGATGTAAGTCAGTATTATGAGGCTGGGTGTTTGTAAACCACATTTTGGCATTTCATGAAATTAACTCTTCAGCAAAGAATAGTATTTTGCTCCTAGTGTGTGTTTTAGAACATGAATGCTATCTTTGTTTATACACTGGATTTGTTTATGTGGTAGGGATGAAGGGTGGTGGATTCTCATACCTTTTGGCTCCTGTGCAGACCATTTTCCCAGAGCTGAATATGAGGGCTGTTGTCCTGGGCTCTCGGATCCTCATTATAACAGCAGCAAACCTCTGTGCACAGAAGTCAGAGAGAGATTTAGCCTCTGTAGGAATTAATACTATGCCAGTTGCAAAGCTGAGCTGGATATTAAAACAATCTTGAATCAGGTGAGATTGGATGGAGAAACTAAACGTCTGTTATTCTCCCCTCAAAAAACAAAAAACTTACTGCTGTCGAGTCAGTTCCAACTCATAGCAATCCCTCCTTGGGTTTCTGAGGGAGCAGCTCTACAGAAGTAGATTGCCCAGGCTTCCTTCCCAGGAGTGGTTGGTGGGTTTGAACTGGCAGCCTTCTGATTAGCAGTCAAATACCTTAGGCACTACACCACCAGAGCTCTTTTTTTTTTTTTTTTTTTTAAATTCTCCCCACTTTAACAAAATTATGAGTCTAAAATGTCTTTGGAAAAAACAGGTAAGCATAAGAACAGCTAAAATGTGAGTTTCTGGTATGTTTCACGCCTTACAGTTGAGGAGTTTTTGCTCATTTTACCACATGACAGGCCTGAGTTGAATCCATTACTGCCCCCAGTTAGTGTATGGGGAAACCCAAAGAGAATTAATTTATTTTCCATGATCACACAGGATGGTAAAGTGAAGATTTAAAACCACAAATAACCAGAATCTCTGCTTTTTACTTTGAAATACTTCCTCTCCCTTCTAAAGAGTCAAAAATAAGTAAATAGATACTGTAAAAGTAATAAGTATGTCGCAGGCTTGCCAAGACTCTAGAATAGACTGAAAAGCAACCAAAATATAGAATACAACTGTTCTGGTTACCTCTGTGCCACTCTAACAGAAAATACCACCAATGGGGTGGCTGTAACAAACACGAGTTTATTCTTTTACAGTTTGGAGGCTTTAAGTCTGAGTTCAAAGTGCCAGGCTCTAGGGGCTGAGTGAAAGCCCCTCAGCGTTGGGCTTCAGCTCTGCCTCATGCTCCTGGCCCAATGAAACTGGAGGCTTTTCTTCACTCAGACAGCTGCTGAGGCCAGCAAACCCAAGGTCGACAAATAAAAAGGCACAGTCCCGATGTTACCAAACAACACGGCAGGCTACTGATTCAAGTGCATTGAAAGTCCTAAGATCAGCAGAGCATGGCAGGCTGCTGAACAATGATTCAGCTACACGCAGGGTTCAAGCGTGCCATAAGCTAGAGACCATTCCAAAGCTGCTGTTTATATATGGGAAACAGACCACATTCCTAAAGCAGCAACTCAGCTGCTTGTGGTAGATCCCACCATGGAGCTGATTGTCAGTCTCATCATGAGGAATAACTAACACCAGCTGCCCAGTCACTCAACCAGGCCCAGCCAAGTTGACACACAACCTTAACTACCACAACAGCCAATACAGAATACATCGATAGGCATGCTGAGGATGAATGACAAAAAACTGAGCTGTCAAATTCTTGTCTACAATAGTACTCAGAGTGTGGTCCTTGCAGCATCAGCAAGACTTCCAGGTGATTCTGATGCATTTAAGGGTTGAGAACCACTGGCCTAACACAAGGACATGTTGTTAGATGACCTGCTCCCCCACTTACACTCACCTCTCCTCCTCTCACTATTAAGCTGGGAAGGAAACGGAGATGAGTGCTATGGGGGACTACTATGTGGAACTACAAGTTCACAGGTTGGGGCTCATTCACAGGATCATGGGTCATTTCAAGGTGGACTGGCAATTTTGGACTTCAAGTATTGACAGAGTAAAAGAACCCTGAGTCAACACTAATAGTTGATCAAGTGCTATTAATGTTTTCCAGGTGTTTACTAAAGTAATGCTCTCACCTTTGTTATTAAGTACAAGTTCGGCTTTTAAGTCAGATCCTATACACCCAAATTAAATAAGGAGGGAGTGAGGATAGCAGAGATAAAACACACACTTAAAATGCTGATTGTTCAGTAGTGTGGTCAATCATTTCTGCAGCTGTAAGAGTCCTAGCTCATCATTCAGCTTGCTAGACCTAGAACTTGAATTTCTGTCCTCATCATAGCCTGTTATATATATGAAATAAAAAAAGAATGCTGTATGTATTGGGGTAAAATTCAGGTAATATTTAAAATTTCAATGTCAGCACCACCACCACAGCAAACTCAAGCTGTTATTGTTAGAAACTGTTGAGTCAATTTTGACTCATAGTGACCCCAAGTGACAGAACAGAACTGATGCATAGGATTTTCTAGGCTGTAATCTTTATGCGAGCAGGTAAGTCTTTCTCCAGTGGAGTTACTGGGTGGGTTTGAACCACCAAACTTCCAGTTAGCAGCTGAGTGCTTAATCATTTATACCACCACCAAACTGATAAACGGGAGCTCTGGTAGCATAGTGCCTAAGGCACTTGACTGCTAACCAGAAGGCTGGCGGTTCAAACCCATTAGCCACTCCTTGGAAGGAAGATGGGGCAATCCACTTCCGTAGTGATACTGCCTCGGAAACCCAAGGAGGGGTCGCTATAACTTGAGTCTGACTCGATGGCACATAAGAACAATAACAAAACTGATAGACAGCTGATGTTGGCAATGTTCTCTGGGTTCCTATTAAGGTGGACTTATCATTAAGTCCATAAATCCTCCACCACCCCAGACAGTAAGCTTTTCCCCAGTAGAGACTAAGTCTTATGCACAATTATATCTCTAAGTACAACAACAGAAAACAAACAGTTCTTTTTACTCTGTTAACAACTTAAAGTCCGAATTTGCCAATCAAGCCTTGAAGTGATCCATGGTCCTGTGAAGGAGCCCCGACCCATGAACCTGTAGTTTGTGATGCTCCTAAATACAGAGCCTGGAAAATCTTTAAACGTTGATCAAATTAACAAGACCACTTCCTCTAGGTAGAGGCGTTACTGAAAATGGAGTATCCAGCTCTGGCAGGACACAGGGAAGAATGATTTTATTAACCTTGAGGAGCTCTGGTAGCATAGTGCCTAAGGCATTTGACTGCTGACCAGAAGGCTGGAGGTTCAGACCCACCAGCCAGGCCTCAGAAGGAAGATGGGACAATCCACTTCCCTAGAGAAATTGCCTCGGAAACTGAAGGAGGGGTCACTATGAGTCCGATCTGACTTGAGGGCAGCGAGTTTGGTTTTGACAGGTAGAGTGGGAGAGGAAAGCCCCATTTATATTACTAAGTGGAAGCTTGAACTTCACACTTTAAAAGATGTAGTTTTCCCAAATAGAATCTGTAAATGGAAATATACATACATGTCAGCTAGGTACTAATAACATTTAGAAAAATATATTTGCAAGAACGTGATGGCATTTTTAGGAACATTAGTGTTCCAATAGTCATGCTGAAAAATGTTTTTGGATGACAAGGGAAAGATACTAACTTCTAGGAACTGCTCAATAACTGCTTTATTCAACACAGAATGAGATTTCTTTTCATAATTTCAAAATAGAGGATGAGATGATTAATCTTTAAAAGACTTTAAGTTGCCAAAAGCTTTTCATTTTCTAAAAATAAAAAAATAAACCAAACAAAGAAATGGATCACTATCCTGATCCTATGGAGGAAGTAAATTTAAGGAGACACTAATTGTTGAGAAGAATACTGGGAAATCTTACCTTTGGGTTATATTCTGCATTTTTTGCATGCAAAGCTATTTTCTTCAGATCCAATTTACAGGACAGATTGACAGTAGAAACTATATTCCTGAAAGAAATAAACCAATATTCTTAACACTGGGAGGAAGCAGGATGAGTGCTGTTACATTGTAGGGATTGCAATCAATGTCATGACACAAAAATGTGTGTGAATTTGTTGAATGGAAAAATCCTTTTTCTCTATAAACTTTTCCCAAAATCACAAGTTTAAAAAAAAAAAAAAAAGAGGCCAATATTCATAAGGAAATCATATCAGATATAAAAAGTAAAAAAATAAATAAGGCTAGTGTCTTAAAACTTATTAACTTCTTCATTTTTAAGTCCTACATTTAGTGACTTCATAGGGGGGCATATTATTCCAATATGAAACTCAGAGTAACGTGGTCCCACGTGAAATGTAAAATCTCAAAGTGAAACACTGAAATAGCTTTTTCTAAAATTTGATGAGGTGGTGAATAAAGGTAAATCTTCTTCAAAACTATGCTTCAAAATAGAACATACAATTCCAAAGCAATTTGCAAACTGAATTCAATTTTACGTCTTTATAGCTTTGTTTATACAACCCTAATCACAATTTCCAGCAACTCCAGTGCTTTAATATAAATACAGTCCTTCAAGAATGTGTATACTGTACTAACGCTTACCCTTCCTCTCAGAATATCAAGAGTTAGCACTTCATTTTACAGATAACCAACTGTCTAAAATCACAATCCATCAATAGCTGATGAAACGAGCTCTGGTAGCGTAGTGGCTAAGGCACTTGGCTGCTAACCAGAAGGCTGGTGGTTCAAAGCCACCAGCCACTCCTCAGAAGGAAGATGGGGCAATCTACTTCCGTAGTGATACTGCCTGGGAAACCCAAGGAGGGGTCACTATGAGCCGGGTCTGACTCGATGGCACATAACAATTATTCTGAAATTATTTATGACCACCTTCAGGGATACAAAATCTGTACCAAAGATCATTCTCATTTAAAATTTGAGGGGAAAAAAAAAAAGGAAAAACAACTTACTGTAGTTGAGGCACAATTCCAGAACATTCTGAAACAGGGGTGATGGGTTTCATGGGAGTTATGGATGCCAGAGGCAAGGGGTCAGAGGTTGGTTTCTCAGGAGAGGGCTGGACTGAGTCAGGATCATCAGGGTACAGGTGTGATTGTGAACTTGACAAACTGGTGCCATGTAAGTGCAGGTCAATGTCCTGTTCATTAGGTAAGGGCAACCTTCTTTGATGACATTGAGTTTTACAGGTTTTTTCCATTTCATCCTTGCTTCCAATGACAGTCTCATCTTTATTTTCTTGGGTAAGTTCATCTGGCAGGAAGCTAAGATCCACAGATGAGAAGTCACCAGATGTTTCTTTAACTTCAAGATGTGAACTAAATGCCATCTTTGGAATGGATGGATTAGGTAGGTACATGTCATAAGATGTGACTGGGCTCAACAGGGGAGATCTGGGTGGGGCAAGTTCATCCTAAGTAGTTCCCAAAACAGACGAACAAAACACAACAAACAGAACAGTTTGTTACACCAAAGGGACACCATTATGACAGGGAGTTGATGTGTTCAGTGTGAGGGGGAAGTTAAAGGTAGCTTATATTCATGCCCTGCCCCTTTCCACAAAGTACCATTATAGGGGTACAGCATGCTTAATAGCAGCAGTAAAGTATTATCTTAAAATGCAGTAAAAGATTTTTCATAATTTTTTTTCTACTTTAGTTAAAGCTCTACGTAAGTTGTCACTCTCCAAATCCAATTTTGTAATAGAAGCAATGGCGCAACGATACACTAAATTGTGTGCACTTTGAAGAGATTTACTGTACTCTTTAATTACAAACTTCAGCTGATTTACTTAAAGATCTTTTAGGGTTTTAAATTCATATTTTAAAAAGAGGACAATAAGTGAATGAAATATAAAATGTAGTCTTGGTTGCTAACCAAGTTCCACTAAAGACCAAATGCCATTCCTTATAGTCAAAGGAGGAATTAAACATTCTAGTTGCGTGAGTTTACAATAGGAAAAAAGTTACTGAGATTTCAATGAGAATAGTTTAAAATCAGTGTATTGTATTTCCAGCCCAGGGAAAGCTGCTCAACTTCCCTTTCTCATCAGCTGAGGGAATGAGCTGTGTGAGTGAGTCAAAGAGCTGATGCAAAATTCATGTTCTAAAATGGATTGGCATTACAAAACAAACCTATTACCTTGGTACATACATTACCACCTGCTTTGCCCAAGCTGCAGACCTACATTCCAGATTTTGAGCACTGCTTACAGGATACACCTCACCCCTTGGAAGATCTGACTTCTGACAAGCCATGAATGCCTTCCTTTGTGTGCGCCCCCCACTCCCCCTTCCCTATCCCCCATGACAAAGCTGCCTTGGCGTAAAAATGGCCACATTATTGAAATACAAGTCCAGCAGATGGCAAGGGTAACTTAAAATAAAACGCACAAAATTGAAGTTATTCTCATTAAGATTTTTAACTTTTACTTCATTTTGAATTATGTAGTTAGTCCCCCACCCCACCCTACAGAGAAGTCCTAAGGAAACTGAAGTGGGGGCCTGTAGCCTTTCCTGTGCTAGCTGGAGAGGACCTATCAGCCAATTTACACTAAAGCACTATCTGCAACAACCCTATCTCCCTTCCCTTCTCTCATTTCAGCAGGGGACAAAGCTGCCACTCAAAGAACCTAAACTTCCATGGTGAATTTAAGGCAACAGCAACAAAATGTTAAGGGAGATATTTCATGACAGTAGAATTTTGTCATACATCCCCTCCCAAGTTTACCTATAGAAACACCTCAGGTAATGTACACCTCAGAAGATGTACATATAACATACACTGTGGTTAAAAAAGGAGTGGGGGTGGGGGTGGAAAAAGCATGTTTGCTGCCTCCTTGGCCTCCTATCTGAAGAAATTTTTTGTTAGACAGGTGTTTTGCATAACCATCAAGTCCTCCTTCCCAGAACCCTTCCTGTGTGGAAGAATACTATTTTTACCTCAGTGCTGTCTTTTTAAAAATCTCACACAGAAAAAATAATTGTTCTTTTGTTTTCTTTTTGAAGACTCCTTTCTTTTCTATGATAGCTGATTCTAAAGATTTTTTTATATGGAAAAGTAAAACAAACAAACCTTAAGAATCACTAACTGAAAGAAACTACAAGTGTTCCCATTCACATTTTGGTAAACCCTGGGACAACCCACTCTACCGGTAGACGCCAGCACCCACAGCCATCAAGTCGATTCCGACTCTTGGTAGGCACCAGAGAGGCTTTATTTCTTGCAGCCTGTTGTTGGCAATCGCTTTAAAATACAATGTCCATCTACACGGAATCGTCAGTCTACGTTTACCCTAGCAGGACAGAGATCGCTACGAAGTCAAACTCTTGGTGCCTGTTTCTGCAGAACTGGACCCGGCGGTCTCACCTGGCGATTAAGTACATACACGGCTCTGGATTCCCACCAGACAAGGTTGGAGTTCTGGAAGGCAGCCCTGAACAAGGAATTTCACACACACACACACACACACAATCTTTTTAGCTGAAAGCCGGGGATAGGATAGTTTTCAACGAAATAAGGAGGGCCAAACCCTTAGCTCAGAAGTACTTGGCGCTCAGCAAAAGGGCAGGCAAGAAAAGACGCAGGGCCTGACTCCCGGACAGCGGCGGCGACCTCCGGGCTCACCTGGGCAGCGCACTGGTCCAGGTAGAGCTCCAGGTACGTCGCCTCCTCCATGGGCGGAGGACCCACTGTTGGGGGAATGAAGGCAAGCAACCTCAAGAGTTCAGTGACAAGAGCCCGAGCGCGAACGCGGCGCGCAGAAGCCATTTATCAGCTGGGTGGGCTGTACGCGGCGGGAAGGGGCGTGGCTGGAGTCGCGGGACCCTCGCGGGAGCCTCAAGCCACACCTGGATCCACGCTCCCACAGATGGCGCGAATAAATGATTAGCCAGGGCGTGGAATGAAGAACTCAGCACCCGCAGCAGTGGGCTCTAGGAAGTGGGGTGTGCAAGAAAGAGGGAGGGAGGCGGCCTCTTCTTCCCTGTGCATTCGCCACTCTCTGCCCAAAGCTGAGAGGTCCCCAAGCTCCCTAGGCCGCCCACCTGCAAATCTGGAGATTTCCTCCAGTGTTTGTTAATGCTGTCTTTGCCTGTGGATGAAAGGGTCTCAATGTAATTAGCATAAAAAGTGAGCGGGTGAGACAAAATAATGTTTCATTTTTCCCTTCCTCTTTTTTTCCATCTTCCCCTCCCTCCCTCACTCCTTTCCTTTCTTTCTTTGCAAAAACATTTTCTGAGCAGAGCAAGTGGAACTTGAGGACCATACCTACTAAGGTGTAGTATGTTTATGTTATCATTAGTTCTCACTGCTTTCAGGTACTTTTTCTCCAATCATAGGAAATTCATTCTACAGCCACATACAAAATAGTGTGTTGCTGCACAATTAGGGTTGAGGCAGATCTGGAAGATAATGCATGAGCAAATGTTCAGACAGGTTTCTCCTTTCTTGAAGTCATTATTTTAATTTTGGATGCCTCAGCTTTCATGAAACGTAAATGTGCAGAATGGTTCTATAAATATAATTGACACTTTAAGTTATTTTCAAATGTGCATACAGACATGCACACATAAAATATCTTTCCTACTAAAGTATAAGCTCTCTGAGAGCAGAACTTCTGACTACCATCCTTGTGTCTCTGTACCAAGCTCATTAATGCTCAGTAAATCCTGATCTGTGAATGAAACTGTCCTTGGAGTGGAGACAGATTGCCCTAAGGATTAGATCATAGTCAAAATCTTATAATTTATAATAATAATAATTGGAAATATTTTTTATAAAGTTGGAATTTTATATATAACTCCAAAACCAAACTCCCTGCCATCTACTAGATTCCAACTCATAACAACCCCCATTGGGTTTCCAAGGCTGTAAATCTTCATGGAAGGAGACTGCCTCATCTTTTTTCTGCAGAGCAGCTGATGGGTTCAAACCACTGGCCTTTTGTTCAGCAGCCAAATACCTTAACTATTGCATCACCAGAGTGCTTATGATGGTATATGATTTTATATAATCAGTTACGTAACATGAGATGGGTAGTCTAAGAAAAATGCTTAGGACAGTGCTTGCTTTTTATCTTAAATGATATCCCTTAGTTTTGTTATTAGATTTACAAAGTGTCTAAATTCAGTAAAGTCCCAGAATGAACATCTGAGTTACAGAAAACTTGTGCTTGTCCTTTAATGTTATGTAAATTTGCCCTCACTTTGAAATGATTAAACCAACCCCAACTCACAACAAATTCTTCATCACAATCACATGATGATTTTGCTGCTTTTGCTGCACATGAAACTTTTTAAACCATTGAAAAGCCTTGTCTTGCACTAAAATAAGGATAAATAAGAACAGTGTGCACCTGTTCTGACTTACCTACAAATTTGACTTAACTACACAGGTAGGCATGGATCTGGAACCCAGGGATTACCTGTAGGCAGAATTCTGAGATGGCCCTCAAGATCCAGCCCACCCCACCCACCCCCATGGTATATATACACCTTCTCCCAGTTATTCAATTAAATACCAATCTAGATTCTGCTGTGAAGGAATTTTGCAGGTGTAATTAAGGTCTCAAATCAGTTGACTTAAAGAGATTATCCTGGATGAGCTTGATTTAATCAGGTGAACTCTAAAAGAGAACTGGACTCTTTCTTGGGAGAGATTCAAAGCATGAGAAGGATTTGCCATTAGGGTGATTCTTTATTTGCTAGCTTTGAAGATAGAGGGAGCCATCTGGAAAGGAATGTGGGTGACTTCTAGGAGCTGAATGTGGTCCACAGTTACAGCCAGCAAGGAATTGGGTAACTCAGTCTCACAGCCCTGAGGAATTAAATGTAGCAATAATATGAATAAGCTTGCAAGTGGATTCTTCCCCAGAGCCTCCAGAAAGGAACTCATCCAGCTGACACCTTGACTTCAGCCTTGAAAGACCCTGAGTGGATAACCCAATCGTTCTGTGCCTGAACTTCTAACCCACAGAACATGAATGAGCTCATAAGTAGATGCTGTTTTAAGTCACTGAATTTGTTATGCAGCAATAGAAAACAAATACGTTATAATTTATTAATAACTAGGGACACAGAATTGCAGTGATCTGCAGTGCAAATGTGTTCAAATAATTTCTTTTAGAAGGATCAGTACAAATTGGTTCCTAGAAGGCAGAGGTTAAAGATGTCCCAAATGTCCAACTTTTCCTGACTACTGTGCCACTACATCATCTCTAATATCTCCTCCTTCTCCTTTCCTCAGTGCTCTCCCTCTCATTCTTAGGGTTCTGTATTTTGCTGTAACATCTCACACAACTCAAAATCTGTCAAAGAAATGGCTCACACAGTTGTGGAGGCTGGCAAATCCCAAATCCAAGGGTTAGACATTAGTCTGGAGGATTCTTCTCACACATGTGGTTACAGGGGCTGATGAACCCAAACTAGTTGGTCAGAGGACTGGCTGCTGTCTCATGTCCCAAGAACTGGGGTGAGATGATGGTGAACCAGACACAGGACCTAGAGCAAGAGAATGAACTTTTCCAGAGCATTAATATATATTGCATGCAGACCATACCCTCAAGGAAACTAAGGGTGGTGACTTGGAGTCACAACCTCTAGTAAGGTGGTGACTCAACCACTAAGCAATATGGCAGTATTCACTGTCAACCCCCATTTTACCAATGAGGGGAAGGCACAATCTATCCCAAAAGGCCCTTTGGAATTCTGACTACAGGTTCAGTGGTATAGTTACAGTCTCTTGCTTTGGGATCACCCCTGCTTCCAACACCTGCAGCGCATTCCTGGTCCTGGGACCATAACACAGGCATGATGTTGTTGTTGTTAGGTGCCATCAAGTCATCTCCAACTCACAGTGACCCTATGCACAGCAGAATGAAACACTGCCCAATCCTGTGCAGGCTTCATGATCCTTGCTATACCTGAGCCCATCGTTGCAGCCACTGTGTCTATCCATCTCGTTGAGGCCTTCCCCTTCTTTGTTGACCCTCCACTTTACCAAGCATGATATCCTTCTCCAGGCAATTGTTCCTTCTGAAAATATGACCACAGTAGGTGAGACGAAATCTGGCCATTCTCGCTTCCAAGGAGCATTCAGGCTGCACTTCCTCCATGACAGATTTGTTAGTCCTTTTAGCAGACTATGGTACTCCTAGCATTTTTCTCCAAAGCCACAACTCAAAAGCATCAGCTCTTCTTTGGTTTCCCTTATTCATTGTCCAGCTCTCATGTGCATAAGAGGCATAGAAGCTGTGATGGAGCTGTGTGTCAACTTGGCTGGACCACAATTCTGTGTGGTTTAAGCAATTGTGATGTGGGTTGTTCCAATGATGGGATCAGATGTATATGTTTTGAGCAGCCAATCCATAGAAAGGGAGTTTCCCTAGGGATGTGGCCTGCTTCCAATATATTTATGGACATCCTGGGAAAAGTGACACCCTTCTGTGGATTGGGATCCTGTTGTGTTGCTTACAATTGTCCGTGAGCAAACAATCCACCATCTGGCCTGGAGATCTTGGATTCGTCATTCATTGGAGTCAACAGCCAATATACTGCCTGCCAACCTTGACCTCGTCAGCCCCTACAGCACTGTGAGTCAGGAAAAGCCTCCAGCTTGACATTTGATCCAAGAACTTTGGACTTGGCCAGCTTCTATAAGTGTGTGAGCCATTTTCCTAAGATAAATTTCTCTTTCTCTCTATATGTAGGCTTTACTGGTTTTGTTTCTCTAGCGAACCCAGTCTAACACAGAAGCTAAGATTTACAATATATAAGAAATGGAAGGTTATGGCCAGAAGGGCCATATTAAGTAATTCACTGCACTACAAAATGATAAAGCAAATGTGTAAAATGTTTTTTGGTTTTTTTTTAAAAGGCAAATCTGGGTAAAGGGTACATGACTGTCTCTTGTATTATTTTTAATTTTGCAACTCTTTGTAAATTTGAAATTATTTCCAAGTGAAAAGTTTTAAAATAAGAGATTTGTGACTATCTTTGTGGGTATTTCATTTATTTTGGTGAGAGTTAATTTGTCCAAAATCTTAAATTGTTCTGTTTCTGGGAATCAAAGATTGATAAAATGTAATTGAATAATAGTTCATTGCTAGCACATATTGAAAGCTTACTATGTGTCAAGCACTTTTGTAAATGCTTTCTATATGTTAAACTCATTTAAGCCTTACAAGGACCCTTTTTA